TTTTGGTGCATACTTGTGTAATCTTCCATAGTCAACAGCGGACCAGTCTTGCGTCATTTTTAAACTTCCTGCGCGAAAAAGTGTATCCTGAGGTAAGGAATTCTTTGGAACAAGGGCGTATACTAGAAAAAGTAGTTCCGCAGAAACCGCTTTTGAAAGTTCAAAAGTGTACAGCGCTGGTTGTAGCCAATATCTTCGCACGAAATTTAATTAATTTAAAAGAACAAGTCTTTGAGAGTATACTTGCAAAAACGGAACATTGTGACTACATTCCCCTATGATTCCTACATGATAACGTGGATCGCTGTGTAAAAAAAAAAAGGGGGGGGGACTTTTTAGTACACTATGCATATTCCCTGAAACTAGGAAGAATCCAGTTTCAGTAAACGCGTTCTCCCGAAAAAGGGCGGATGCGCGCATACGCCTTTGTCCCAAAGAACTCCATGTAACCAGGTAACCTGCCGGCGCGGCGGCCGGCGCGGCGGCGCGGCGTCTAGAAGAAGAAATCAGTTGCACCTCATGAAATTTTAGCTCTATTTTCGAGTGACCGCGGTGTTGCGCTGTCTATCATAGTTTGCACCTGTAGATGCTTGTCTGAGGGATATTTTCTTAAAAAAGTAGTAGATTTGTCAATTGTCCATGTGCCTCCGTTTTCCTCGTTGGCATGAGATGAGATAGGTCCAATCAGCACCCGATATGTCCGAAACGCGCCACGCTGCGCTGCGCCTCGTCGCACAGTTTACATTTGATTTGGAGCGGCCTATGCGCAAAACTAAATTCGTCGATAGTACAATTTTTTTAGTTTAAACTGGTTATAAGAATTTTGAATTCTCGGCTCACAAGAAAAATGATGGTCTACTTGAATCAAATCAACACGGCTCTGGCAGACTGCTTAATCGAGCGCTGTTTCCTTCCCAACTTCGAAAGGTTAAAACAAGCAATAGCTGAGTCGAAGCACCAAAATTGTAAATTAATTGAAATTGCAATTGAAATTTCGGACTTTTTGGTCCATCCTCAGGTCACACTTGGCACTCACGAACTCGCGAACTTGTCGACACATAAAAATAAAAATGAAATAAAAGTACGTAATATTGCGTTGACTTATGCTCCAAACGCAATAACACGTACTTTTCCTTAATTTTTATTTTTATGTTTCGACAAGTTCGCGAGTTCGCGAGTGCCAAGTGTCCACTGGGGGAAAAAAACACATTGGATCTAGAGTCCAGACTCTTGAGAACATCGACAAGAAAAAATACTCTTGATTCAATCAGATTTTTGCTCGAATCAAAAGGAAATCCGCTTAAATTAAGAGGCTTGGTTCTTGATTTAAGCAAAAATCCGATTGAATCAAGAGTACTTTTTCTTGTCGATGTCTTGTAGAGTCTGGACTCTAGATCCAATGTGTTTTTTTTTTCCTGTGTGACCTGTGGATGGACCAAAAAGGTCTGAAATGATCATCGTCATCTCATAAATCCAAAATATCAAGAACGGAGAATAAAAAGTGAGCCAAACAAGTTAATAAAATTTAGCATTGAATTCGTAAATTCGTACCTAGTCTACTGGTCCATTTGACAATGTCGGAGCGGGTAAAAGTTGCGTCGCAACTAGGAGAAAAGCGTACCGCGTGGCGATGCCGTTGTTAACGGATCAACATTCAACAATCGTATCCAGTTTCACTACCGCGGGCACGCCGGCCAAGCCCGCCACCTCTTAATGCTTTTCACCTTCCTTCGACTCCGTTCACACCTCTGACACCGGCGTCTCCATCCAGGTGAGGTGTTAAAACTTGACTCTCATACTTGGTCGATTCCGTCCTCAAGTTCAAGGATACGCTTGCCTCAACCCCACGGATGACCGTCTTCGCGGAGACAAAGTAGCTTCAGTTAAGGTGATTCGATGGACGCCATATTTTGTGTCAGAACGGCATGCTATATATCGCATCCATTGGTCTTAACTTCCACCGCCGCGCCTCGCAGACCGCACTGTGTTTGACGCAATGCGTGAAGTATTCACGCAGTCTTGTAGGCGCTATGCGTCTCACGCTGATCGTACTGTGTTTGCCGCAATGCGTGAAGTATTCATGCATTCTTGTAGGCGCTATCAGTTTCACGCTGTCCGCAATGACCGCAACCGCAGACCGCACTGTGTTTGATGCAATGCGTGAAGTATTCGACCAGTCTTGTAGGTGCTAATATGTGTTACATGCCGCTCGCCGATCGCCGCGCCGAGGGCTTCTCCTTTTCATCTCAAGTCCTCGTCATCATTTCTCTCTAGGTATGTCGCGCCGTTCTAGGCCAAATTGCGTGTTTGGTTTCTCTTTTAACTCGACTAATTAAAAGTGCTGCCTCTTGTATCACTGGAAGACGACAAAAGTAGAAATTACTATACTCTCAGAAAATTAGAGATTTTGACGCCTTTTCTCGTTTGTAATTTTCTTTTTCTGAATCCGAATTTTTTTTATACCTACGTTTAAAAAAATTGCAAAATTTGCCGCCCCCTATAGATTTGCCGCCATGGGCCGCGGCCCATGTGGCCACCGCCAATCTACAGTTTCTATATCGTTGTTTCAGTGACATACCCTCGATATGAAAAAAAACTGTAAGTAAAACTAAACGTGCATTGCGTGCAAATGCGATAAAAAAAGGGAGGTTTAATTACCATGTGTTTTTCTGGTGAACTCAGCGGCACTGGAGCGCTCCCACTCATGGATAGCGGCCACCAGGGGAAACTCCATCCACGTTCGCTACTTCCCTCTTACCACCCATTAGATCCCCATCTCTGAAACAGACGAAAAAAGGCACATGTTTTAGCCAACTGCAAAAGATTAAAAGAAAAATGCAGTTAATTAAAAATTGCAAGGTAAAACAAATCACACTTCACATTAATACACGTTTATCTCTGCACTGAAGTGGTATGGAAAAACGCCGTATGAACATTCAGAGTTGCCAAATTTCCCTTGATAAAACATTTATTTTTGACATAAATCATGCATATTTTTCCTTCAAATTTTCAGATATTTTAGATTGAATTGCGTACAAAATTGTCTGAAATTTTTGGAAAATAATATTCGCAATTTTTCCTGTAAATTCGGTTTTATCGGAGGGAACTTGGCAACGTCTAGTGGCTAATACGGCGTTTTTCCTTAGCACGGCAGTGCAGTGCTATGGAAAAACGCCGTATGAACATTCAGAGTTGCTACATTTTCCCGGATAAAACATGTATTTTTGTGGAACGTTATTCATATTTTTCCTTGAAATTTTCAGATATTTCAGATCAAATTGCGAACAAAAGTATCTAAAAAATTTGAAGAAAAATATTCATGATTTTCTCAGAAAATTTGTTTTTTAATTGAAGTAGATCTGGCATCGCCTAAAGGCTCATACGGCGTTTCTCCATGGCACGGCAGTGTAACGCACGAGGAAGGGTATTATCCGATGGATACTTCCACTAGGAGTGGAACATTATCCCTCCTCTGATCACTGCTTGTAAGCAGAAGTGATTTCTATTTCCGATGTGCTAAATTCGCTGCTCAACTGAAACAAGGCGCAATTAATTCACCCCGTGAGCTCCAGGAAGGATGTCCTAACGCGAGCTACAGTATATAAAAAGAATAAAACGAAAATTTTAAGTATTTAAGAAATCACTTCTCTCCCTTTGTTTCATGCTCGCAAGGCGCCAGTCGCAGTGAGTCGCAACTTGAGGATATGGTCTCGTACAGGGTTGCAATTTTTCATGAAAAGTAAAATCTTGAAATTTCATGATGAATAAAGTCTTGAAATTTCATGATAAATAAAGTTTTGAAATTTCATGATGAATAAATCCTTTCAATTTCATGTAAAATATTTCATGAAATTTCAGAAAATATGAAAAATATTGAAAAATATTTTTTGACATAAATGCAACATCAAACGAAAGGTGACAGGTATTTGTTTTTTGGGGTGTTTTTTAGTGCGTGTTACGTACCCAGCCCCTGAAAATGTGTTTCATATTTTTCAAAACTTTGTTACATTTCAATAATCCCATATTTTTCATTTCACTCGTGCAACCCTGGTCACATCTAGGACCAAGACGCGTCTTGCTAGCAGAAAAAAAGGGAAAGAAAATAGCTCTAAAATATTTTAAATTTTCTTTTTATTCAGTTAATGCATTAAATCTCTTCCTTTTTTTTTTAAAAAAAAAGAAAAGAAAAAGTTCTTTACACGCACTACAGCATCGTGCATCTCAAAATATAGGTACTCCTTTATTATTAGCAGAACGACGTATTATGATCCTATCCATACACTAAAGCAACGTTTGTATAAAGGTACCGTAAAATTAGATAATGAGATTGTCATTTGTTCACGGTAGAAACATCGTACTTTTTCCGTGCTATCGCTTTGTGAGTGAAACATTGATATTCTCTATCGTGTGGCAAATACTCAGATGCGGAAATTCGATAGGAGTTGGAAACAGAACAGCTTATCTCTCATCGTTTGATTATGGTGAAATTTGAGCTAAATTTAAGGAGATTACATTGGCGCACAGTGGATCGAGTCAATCAGAAAAGTCAGGCATACAATTTTTGTCTGAAACCGCAAATTTTCTTGTTTATTTCGTCACATTTTACATTTTTAGGGGTGTTTCCAGAAGAAAATTTCACGAAAAAACCAATGGAGCCACTTTTAGAACCTCGAAGTTTTGTATAAACAGAGTTTTGAGCGTTTAAAGTTTTAAAATTTTGTCCGACCTCTCCTATTGGCTCGATCCACTGTGCGGCGGGATAACGATAATTAATCCTCTCAAGTTGCCCAACTAATGCCGAACAGACACAACAAGACGCCGGAGAAGGAACGGATGACTTGGGTGCTTTTGTTTCTGGCGTTATCAGATTTTGCGCTATTGGATGTTTCTGCGCTATTTATGATGAGAGGGCTCTTGCATCCCACTTTACACTCTACAAAGACATCTAGCAGGCATTCTCCACTACGACTCACCCATCTGTGCAGATCGAGTTATCTGTCAATTAACGCAGTACCTATATATCAGTGGCGTGGCGTGCTTTGCGATATATCGATTGTTGTGCCATTTAAACCTATGGAAAAGGATCGATAAAAAGAGTGTTCGTAGCGAACATCTCCTAATCGATTCTTTACCATAAGTTTAAATGGTATAGCAATCAATATATTGCAAAGCACGCCTAGCCACTGCTATATATAGTAGGGAATGATATTATTTAAATGGCGCGCATGTTGCCGAGTGCTTGGAATATTCAATAAGTCGCAGATTTTCAACACAAATATTTGGTCGACTTGACAAAGGGAAAACTAACACAAAATAAATCAACTAACAGCTTGTGTTACTTCGTGTTTTACTTCCTATGCTGCTGCACTGAGGAAGAACGCACTGAAAAAAAAAATCTCGGTGTATTTACTAAGAAAAGGGTAAAATTACCGAGAATTCAGGGTTCTATTTGATCCCAGTTTTTTCTTGGTAAAATTACCATTTATGGAATTGGTAATTTTACCAAGAAATCTTGGTAAAATTATTGACTTTCTCGGTAATTTTACCTTGGTAAAAACGCCAATATTTTTTATCGACTGTGGTAGAATTACCGAGATAAAATGGCAAAGTTACCGGGAATTGATTACCAATAAAAGTGGTATTCTTACCTGAAAAAAACAGTAAAAATACCGGTTTTTAGGTAAGCTTACCAGTCTCTCTTGATAAAATTACCAATAACTGATAAAAAAAAGTGAGATGGTAAAGGTACCAACGGACCTTGGTAAAAACACCGAGAATTTTTTTTCAGTGTGGAATATTCAATAGGTAAGTCGCAGATTTTCAACACAAATAATATTTGATCGACTTGACAAAGGGAAAACTAACACAGAATAAATCAACCAACAGCTTGTGTTACTTCGTGTTTTACTTCCTATGCTGCCGCACTAAGGAAGAACGCCGTACGAACTTTCAGGCGTTGCCAAATATCCTTTGATAAAACACGAATTTCGTTATGAACATATGAATATATTTCTTCCAATTTTTCATCGAATTTTGTTCGCAATTTCACTTAAAGCTCCTGAAAATTTCAAGGAAAAAGATTCATAACTTGCCTCAAAAATAAGCGTTTTACCCAAGGAAATTTGGCAACTCTCGAATGTTCATACGGCATTTTTCCTCAGCACGGCAGTATATTAACACGAGGTTTTAGTTACTCTTTCCTGCTGTGCAAGCCATGATGTTAAATGGACCAAATTGAATGAACCAAGATATGGACTACATCTTGCAATAAAGGACTAAAACTTCCACCACGTTCACAAAAGCACCTCTCTGCATAGGAAAATGATGGCACAAACGTTATTCATTAAATAAGCCATAAATTGTAGTTCCTAATTGCAAAATGTTTTTTATATCATGCAGAAAAGTAGGTACACTCAAAAAACAAGTATGGGAAGAGTGACTTGCCGGCCGAGTTATGGATCATGGAGCCATAAAATATAGTTCGTGGAGCCATGCTTATAGGTTCAAGACCAATTAGGTATGGCTCAGAAAGCCATACTGTAGACGGTGAGTCACTTTGGTTAGAAATTATGGATCCCCGAGCCATTTTTTATGGGTCTCAGAGTCACACCTTTTTTTGAGTGTATGGTCCGAGCAAGTCACGAGAATCAACGGGAAATGGTTGGCTAAGCTTTGGATTATAGGATGACTTCAAAGTGAGAGACAATTGAACGACCATTAAAAAAATGGACACAGAGCTGCCTTTCATCTATAGAAGATCGTTAATTTCTAAGGATAAAGGCTAGCCGAATAGAGATTGGATTCTGGTCAAAATGGTAGGATTAGAACAAACAGAGGAAAAGTGAGAAGGGAAAATATAGAAAGAATGAGAGGGAAAAGAGGAAAAAGACAGAGAAAAAAAGAACATGCATTTCCTTCCGCATTTTCTTGAGATGGCTCTTCCGCATGTTGGAGAACAATCTGATAATTGATCGGCCGATGGATGGTTTCTTTTTAGGACATTGTTGATCAAGAAAAATTCGGAAATAACTTTGAAAGTTCGACCCAAGTAAAAAGCAGGAATCGAAACACAAAACAAGTTGTAAAATTCCCTCAAGACGTCCTTCCAGATATATTTCAAAGTTTTTCTGGGTCAAATCTTGACTATGAATACATGACGTATATGTATATCAGCGACGTATATATGTGACGTTAGTGGGTGTTTGAATAATGTGGAAAACATTTTGGGTTTCAGGACATTCCATCAACGATTTTTTGTCCGCGCACCTGTTATGTCCAGTAGTTTACGTCCGCGCGTAAAATTGGCAACAGTGACTTGGTCCAAGCGTTATATTTTAGTTCGTATGTAAAATTATATTGACAATTTCGAAATGAGAAAATTGAGAGAGAAGGAGGTGTTGTTGATGTAACTCATCTTTTAAGTGAAATGTAACTTTCTTTTTCTTCCTTTAATTTATCTTGTTTAATTAGTATTGGTGAATATTTGGTTTTGTTTCTATCCTTAAAAATTTCAATGTAAAATATACCTTAAACATATTTTTTTTTTTAAAAAAAAGAAAAAAAAGAATTACTTCATTTCTAAGACTTTGTATAACCTTTTCCAAGCGATGACATCTACATTAATCTCAATAAGTAGTAGCTGTGTAGAAAGGAGGTATTCAAACATGATTAAAAGAAAAAACATTCCAAGAAGCATGTAATCTTTGGTCAACCGAATTGTATATGGATCTCTTAGAGTCAAATACGTCCAATTTTGAGCGTTTGATTGCGCGCACACCACGCTGCAGCACAGAAAAAGTACAAAATATTAAAGAAAAAAATTAAAGTGTTATAAAAATCACTAAAGTTGACACGGAGCCACCTTAATATTCACAAAATACACATTTTATTTTCCTTTAATACATATCCCCTCCCCCATCAATTGAAATGAGAATAAACAATGCAAAGCGTGTAAACATTTCAAAATCTTGAGTTGAAAAACGCTAACTCCGCGAGTGTAAATATTAGAACCTAGTACATAGCGGAGCGGCGTGTTAGCAGCGCAAAACGCGCACTTTTTCTTCCATCAATTTAAATAAGAATAATTAATTTAAAGTGTTCAAACATTTCAAAACCATGAGTTGAAAAACGCGGACTCCGCGAGTTTAAATATTAGAGCTAAACGCAGAGCGGAGCGGTTTGCTGCCAGTGCGGCACGCGCATTAGCGCCTACAAACCTAACAGGGATACTTCACGCATTGCGCAACGCGTGAAGTATCCCTGTTAGGTTTGTAGGCGCCAATGCGCGTGCCGCGCTGGTCGCCCTCGCCCGCCGCGGCGTGCCACGGCGCTTCAAGCAACTATTTCGCAACAGAGGTGTTGCACAGTATCATAGTTTTCAGTTTTAGAGTCCCCAAATAAAGTGGCAGCCTTGTCAATGTATTTGCTCTCTATCTTTGCATAAAGAGTTCGTCTTGATGTAGAGGTGGACTCTCAGGATAGTGTGGGATATCCCCTCCATTTTGGCCTTAACTTGAGAGCTTTTTTTGAGCTTGGGAGTTGATTTCAGAGAGAACCAGTGGCACCATCGTGTTTCTCGCGAACTTTTACATAAATATCCATAGTCAAATCGCAAATTCCTCACACATGCAACATCTCCATTGATTTTTTCCGAAGGTTTGAATGAAAGGTTGATACATCGCAAATCAGGCCACGCCATTGGTGTACGCGAAAAGCTCCGATCCGTAACTTCTTTTCAGGAGAGCCAATCAGCAATATAATTTATTTCGTGTACTTTTTTAAAATTTCATCTCAGGGCAAAACCGGCCTCTGCGGCACCGGCACCTGAACGCCCTTGGACCAGACAGCGAGGCTGTTGGTGGTGGGCGTCCGATCGCGATCGGCGGACAATCCAATCCGTAGGCCGGCGAGATAATTAAAGCTGCAACGACACAAAGACACGGGAGATAACAGTCCGAGCCTCGATAAAAGGGGACCAGCGCGGAAGACGGGAATCGAATGCCTCCCCGGGGCCGGGAACCGACGAGGAGGATTGATACTTTTGTTAAATTGGTTCTTTTTAGACCCCGGGAGCACGCCACTACCCCCCCCCCCCCCCCCCNCCCTTTGTTCTCGTTCTTGCCCACGCGAGTGGACGCAATTTCGAACCGAGCTCGGGAATGACGCTGCGAATAAAATTTCGAAAAATAAAAAGGAAATGCTCTCGGGAAGTGTTGGAGATTTCGTCGCCCCTCCAACGTAAGCGCGTATCGCGATTTCCGGATGAGCCTTGCTCTCTACATGGCGCTATGCTTTCTGGGGCTCATGGGGAAATAGAGATAGGCCCTTAAGTCACAAGAGTGAAGATTTTACGGTCTTGGCTTCGGCACTGGCTGGAGCGCACCTGGTGTTTTAGTAGGGTTATAGTCGGGTGTTGAAAATACTCTCTTCGGGAACTGTGCCCTCTTAAAAGAGAAAGCGCTAAAGAAGGATACTGTGCTTGTGAAAACTGCCGTGCTAAGGAAGAACGCCGTATGAACCTTCAGACGTTGCCACATTTCCTTCAATAAAGACCTGATTTACTGTGGAAAATTTTGAATTTTTTTTCTCCAATTTTTTCAGACAAATTTGTTCGCAATTTTGCCTAACATTTCTGAAAATTTCATGGGAAAATGTGCACAATCTTTCTCAAAAACACAAGTTTTATCTGGGGCGATTTGGCGACTCTCGAATGTTCATACGGCGTTATTCCTTAGCACGGCAGAATAGAAGTCTTATATCGACGTTGAAACCACTAGATCACGTGTGACGCGGCGAGAACACCATACCACGTATCTCGTTTGCGGTGTTTAAGAATCTTCGCTCCCATTTTATTTTTTCGAAGAACAAATGAACGCATTTCTATCAAACAGAACTGCGAGCAGGTGAGAAATATGGGGTGTGCTCTAGGAATCTGCATAAGGAACAATGTAAAAGAGGGCGTGATTCATTTTAAAGGATTGGAAAAGCGGGATATTACATTCTATCAAACAGAACTGAAATGAAAATTTGAAGAGATGATATTGATTTGTTCTCCCTCAAAAAAATAAAATGGGAGCGGAGATTTTTGAGCACCGCAAACCAGACACGTGGTCCAGTAGTTTCCCCGTCGTTCTACTTCCGTGCTGAGCAAGAGCGCCGTATGAACATTTGAGATTGCCCAAATTTCTCCGGATACACACTTATTTTTGTGGAATATCATGCATATTTCTCCTTGAAAATTGCAGATATTTTAGATTACATAGAAACATTTTTTTTTTGAGGAATTGGCAGTAAAACATTCACAATTTTTTTCAAAAATTCGTTTCTTACTGCATGCAATATGGCAACATCTGAAGATTCATACGGCGTTCTACTTTAGCTGACAGTATTCTGCCGGGCTAAGGTAGAGCACCGTAAGATACTTTCACATGACATTCCGAACGAAATTGTCGGAAGAATTTGGATCACTTTATTGACAACTCTCCGTAAATTTGTTTCTTTCTTGAGGAAATATGGCAACGTATTCATGCTCAGCCGGCGTTCTTCCTTAGCATACCATGCTAACGATTACCATTCCTTGTTCTAAATAATGCATTCAATAGCTTAGAACTGATCTATCATTCAAATATTTTCCCGGGTCTTAAAATTATTCCATGGACATTAAAATAAATTCAGTATTTTTTAGTAATAGGCATTCAAAAGGCGTATCAATTCCTTACCCCTCCTCCGGGGACCCAACTACCCCTCTTGCAGGAGCCCGCCAGTCCTCTCCTGATTATGCTCCTAGCGCCCTCCCCTTCACGCCTGATCCGCGGCGCGTCATCGGTGAGGGGCGACACTACCCCTCCGAACTGGTAAATACTAGCGCCCTCCCCCGCGGACCTCATTCTGCTCTGATCAGTGCTCTTGTGATCAGTTTGTGTTTCGCTCGTTCCGTTCTTCTCTTTTGCTCATTTACCGATATTCTCGTTCATCTTCAACCATGAATTTCTACAACCTTCTCTTCGCCATTGGTGCGTGCTGTTTTCCGACCGAACAAATCCAGATGTTCGATGAACTACCTGTGGAACTCGTGATCCAAATCTTAAGGTACGTTAAGATCTCTCATTTTTCGTAATGTTTCAATTATTTCTAAAACTTTCTTTATGGTTTTTCATGGTGTTATCTGCAATATTGTATTACATTTTTAAATAACTTTTTTGTTGAAACTCAGAATTATGCTACTCTAATCAGATGCCATTTAAGTCATGTCAGGAATTCCTTTCACGCAATATGATAATCACATTTTTAAGCTACAGGTATTACTTTCCAAGCAAAAAATTAACTTTAAAATGCCTCATTTAAGCATTTTCCCGTCAGTTGTAATGATCTTAAAAATTACTCTTAATTGACACAATTCATTTGTATTTTAATTTGTGTTTTATTTTGTTTGTTTCAGCTTTTTGGATCCCAAGTCACTGTCAATTATGTCAGGAATGAACAAACGCCTGTTTCACATTTGCAAGAACAATAAAGGCCTAAGAACCACAATCCGAAGATACTTACGCAAAGAACGGAAGGAACAACTGAGGAGGATGTTGAACCCTGTCAAAATCAGGGTTGTCAGACAAGAAACCGCAAGTTTGGATGATGCTTTCCAAAATCGAAATGCCAGAAGAGAAGCTGTTGTCACTCGAAATTTCGGTATGTATTCCCACTATTAATGACTGTCGTTATTTCTTGTGTTGTTTTAACTTATGTTATTGTTATCCGTTGCGTCAACAAGTCTCATGAACCATTTACGAAAGTGCGCAATGAGATTTTTGAAAAGTCGAAAATAGAGACACAATAAATTACATAGTTTTATAGCGGAGTTCACTTTGATAAAATTATTAGCACTTCTTTCTCATTATTGGTTTTTGTTCGATTTTTAGTTACGTCAAACGCCGTTTGATTTCGCATTTTCCGATATTTCCTGTCACGCAATAGTAGAAGTACTTTTTCGATTTTTGATCTTCCTTTGTCTTATTATTTAGTTTTTTATGTGCAATACTAACATTTCTGTTTCATTTGTTTGTTTCAGAGCCCACCGATCTCAGAAGAGAAACCGCAAGCCCGGATGTAGTATTTCAACGCCAAAATAGTCGAAGGGGACCTTATGTCAGCTTCGGTAAGTTTACTTACCTATTTGATTAGAACCTTAATTTCCTTCTCAATTCGTGTTGCAAGTAAATTATCAGCAAAATACGTAAATAAGGAGAGAGAGAGAGAGAGAGAGAGAGAGAGAGAGAGAGAGATAACGTTCGGATTCGTTTGTCTATCTGATTTTTTGAATTTTCACTTATTTTTTACAATTATTGTTTACGACTTTTCAGTTCGCAAGTGCGCTGGTTTTCAATTCAGCCTTTTATTCCACCACGTCGATATTACAAATTTTATTACCTGACTAATGTTTATGTCTTTTTTTTTCTGTTTCAGAGTCCACTCAAGTTTTACCACCGATGAAACGCTCGATTGCTGCCGCCTCCAAGAAAAGATCACGTGGTGGTCAGGAGAAGAACCCAGGACCGGGACTCGCCAAAAGGATGCGGATTTGATCTGTTACCGCAACTTAGTTTTTAAGTTTACTCATTTTGCGACTGTAATTTTATTCTGTAAATAGTTGTTGTTTGTACAGTATTGTTAAATTTTATTGTTGTTATTTGTAAATATTTTTTTGTTAAATAAAATTGTATGTCAACAAACACACTTGACTTTAAAAAAACAAAATCAACATTTATCCAGGGTTTTCGGCATAGAGTGGACTGGTGGGCTACAAGCTGTCAACCACTATAAAAAAAGACGTAACGTGCCACTGACCTTGGAGACTGCCTCTTGAGGAGGCGAGTTTTTGCATTGGTGTAATTCATTTCTTACAGAGTGAAATATGGGGACGTATGAAGGCTCGTACCGAGACACCTTATCTTAGCCGTGCTAAGGTAGAGCGCCTATGAGCCTTCTAAAGTTGCCGAATTTCCAGTTTGTAACACAGGTATTCTATGTAAGTAAGTGAATCAGTAGTGATCTTCTTCAGTTTTTTTTTGGTTGGGAATTTCATCGGGTATTGTGTCTACGAATTTACAAAACAAATACTCACATGTTATTTAATTCAAAAATTAGTAATTTACAGAGGAAAATTTGACATCTGTTGAGTGCTCTTGCGGCTTTTACTTAACACGGACGGCAGTGTGTACTATTGTCCTAATGAATCTTATTGTTAGTGTTTTTTTCTTGTCATAAACCACATTGACACAAAACAGAATAAGACACACTATTTGAGTAAGAACAACTCCATGCTGTTATACTGCTGACAGATATTACTGGACTATGTGACGTGAGCCCTGATATGCACATGTTCTTAAGGGTTTCAGGACTCACAGTTAATGCACACAGTTCCGTTTGACAAATTGGATGTAGCTCCTTGATACAACTATTCGTGTTCCGGATTTGTCTGCGTAGTCTACGTAAAAATTGAAGGCGTTTTGGCTTGTCTCGCGCACCCAGTGATGTTCATAGAGCGGAGCACTATTTTGAAGTTTCATCCATGAGAAGAATGCGCAATTTATCAAGGATGGTTTTGTCTTAGGATGCGCTTTTAAAGCAGAAAATCTTATGAGACAAATGTACATCATTTAGAATTAAAAGCATCAGTCACACATTTTAATTCGAGTTTTATAATTTTTATGAAACATTCCTTAACCCTAGTCTGCCTGAGTGGGGTCAGATTGACCCCACGGGAGTTTCAACTCTTTGTCATTTCTCGCGGTATGCACGAAATGTTTTCTCCTTCACAAATAGCTCTACAAAAACATCCAGGAACACGATTTTGAAGGGGGAGGGGAAAAAATGTGCATGAGAGATCAAAAAATTCACGAGTACCCCTAGAAAGCCTGAGCGGGGTCAGATATCCTTATCACATATATTTTACCATTTAGCATCACAAAAGCTTACTTTGAAGGTGTATTCATTTTTCTATTTTTAATTTTTTTCAGAGACTTATAAGACAAGCAAAATTTTTCAGATTTTTTTCGTTTTCAGTATTTAGTAGCCCTATGATTTTTCTTTTCTCATGCTGAGAACAACATGGCAACATGTGTATGATAAAATGGTTGCATACCCTGCGCCGTGTTTTTTAAAACTTAGAGATGCTTTATGGTTAAGGCCTGTAAGGTTAGTGCACTGATTTTAACTAAAAACATGAAGAAAACATAGCTAACTAATTGATTTTCAGCTGGGGTCAAATTGACCCCGCTCAGGCTTTCTCGTTGGTTCAGAGGCTCAGGCAGACTAGGGTTAACGATAAACTTTCCAATGCTTTTATGGGGCTAGTTGCTGAGTGCTTTCAAGGTAAACGATGGAAACAGGAAACAAAAAAATAAAACTTCGGAGTAAATTAGGCAACATTTGATGCATTTAGCCTGATTCCAATTCATTCCGTATATTTGGACTGCATTTTGCAATTTGGAGCTATAAGTTCTGGTCCGACTTAAAAACAATTTATGTGCCATCAATTTCCCTATGCACATAAGTGTTTTTTCAGATGAGCCAGAATTTATAGTTCCAAATTGCAAAATGCAGTCCATTTGATGGTATTATACGACGAGACCATCCTGAAATAAAATGCAAATTTATCTCATCGATGAAACTGTGAAATGGACGTACTTCTATGAAACAGAACTATGTGCAGGTGGGAAAGATGGGGTGCGCCTTTTCAGGGTAAGGTCATTGATCCTTAATATTGATACAATAACCCACTGACCAATATTTACACTCACGGCAAAACAGGTCATTGACCTACAATACCTGACTCATAGAAACAGGAGGCATAACAATGGACGTAGGATGTAGCGCCTGGATACAACTATTCGTGTTCCGGAGTTGTCTGCGTTGCATACGCAAACATTGAAGGCGTTTTGGCTTGTCCTGCGCGCACAGTGAGATGCGTTGAGGAGAGCGCTATTTGGACGTATTTCTATCGAACAGAACTATGTGCAGGTGGGAAAGATGGGGTGTGCCTTTTAGTGCTTGGCCATAAGAACGAAGGGGAATGATAAAGTGCCAGTGACGTAACCGCCGCTCCTGTAGCCATTGCTCGTCTTTAACTCATGAGCCCTGTGCCCAACGCACTTGACACATGTCCCCGGCTCATTAGTCTTGCATTCAGTCGGCACATAGTTCCGTTTGCTGAATTAGAAAAGTGGGATTTCACATTCTGTCAAACGGAACTATGGGCACACTCCCTGAGCCGTGGGCATGTGTCAAGAACGTTGTACACAGGGCTCATGAGTTAAAGACGACGAATGTCCTCTGAAGCAGCGGCTACGTCACTGGCGCTTTATCATTTTCATTCATTCTTATTGCCGAAGCACTTCCAAGCACACCCCATCTTTTCCACCCGCACATAATTCTGTTTGATAGAAATACGTCCAAACAGCGCTCTGCTCAACGCATCGCACTGTGCGCGCAGGACACGCCAAAACGCCTTCAATTTTTGCGTATGCAACATGATCAACTCCGGGACACGAATAGTTGTATCCAGGCGCTACATCATACGTCCATTGTTATGCCTCCTGTTTCTATGCATCAGGTATTGTGGGTCAATGACCTGTTTTGCCATGAGTGTAAATATTGGTCAGTGGGTTATTGTACAATATTACGGATCAATGACCTTACCATCCTTGGTTTGAAGGATCGATATGTCATTATGTCAGCTGAATTCAAGGGTCACTGGGAAGGGTCTCGGTTTATACTTTTATGCGACTCAAGTAGGTCAGTGAGTCAAAGCAAGTACGACCGCCTTAAAAGAATGAAAGTGAAGGTAAATGACCTAGTTTTAAAAATTGGTCACTGTGTTACGGGCTGAACTAAAGGATAACGACCTGCCTTATGAGTGTAAACAATTGGCCAGTAGGTTATTGTACCAAAATTGACGCCGGAATCATTTGAGGATCAATGACCTTTCGGTCTTTGGTTTGAAACGACTTATGACGGTAAGTGAGTCGCAATCGAAAAATATGGCAAACAATATTGCCGTGCTAAGGAAGAACGCCATATGAGCCTTCAAACGTTGCCAAGTTTCCTCAGGTAAAAACCGAATTTATTGGGAAAATTGCGAATGTCAATTTTTTCAAAATTTTCAGACAAGTTTGTACGCAATTTAATCTAAAATATCCGAAAATGTCTAGGAAAAATATGCATGAATGTTGTTAAAAATACATGTTTTATCAAGGAAAATTTGACAACACTCGAATGTTCATACGGCGTTCTTCCTTAGCACGGCAGAATAGACGTAACCATAACGGCAACCCACGAGAAGCCGTAAAAATCCATCATTTTCTCCCTTAGTCTATAAGAACAACCCGTGTCAACCAATCGGATCGAGTCATTTTCCCCGTGTATCAATTAAGGTTATTCCATAACCATTGAATAATAATTGACCTTCTGGCGGAGCATCAAGACTACGTCCAAGCATGGTTTAAAACAGTAACCGCGTGCCAAATTTCTCAAATTTAAATTCATCCGCATCGAATCTAATGGAAACTTACAATCGCTAAGAACCTAGAAGCACCTTACAATCGCATTAAATTACTCGTGAAAACTCGAGTAGTAAAATAAAGATTTGAAATTAAGTTTTAAATAAAATGAACTCAAAGCTCGGTAAACTCAATAAACTCGTAAACAACGTATCTTATTTTTTTTTTTTATTAATTTTATTGAAGTCATCAAATTCCTCCCGTCTTTTAATGGTCTTAAACTCTGTGTATTTATTCAAACGGCGTATTAATTACTCACCCCTCCTCCAGGGGCCCATCTACCCCTCTTGCAGGAGCCCGCCAGTCCTCTCCTGATTATGCTCCAAGCGCCCTCCCCTTCACGCCTGATCCGCGGCGCGTCATCGGTGAGGGGCGACACCACCCCTCCGAAGTGCTAAATACTAGCGTCCTCCCCTGCGCAACTCATTCTGCTGTGATCAGTTTGTGTTTCTCTCGTTCCGTTGCTCTCTTTCGCTCATTTGCCGTCATTTTCCAACCATGAATTTCTACAATCTTCTCTTCGCCATTGGTGCGTGCTGTTTCCCGACCGAACAAATCCAAATGTTCGATGAACTTCCTGTGGAGCTCGTGATTCAAATCTTAAGGTACGTTAAGCTCTTTCTTTTTACTTAATGATTTAACAAATTTCTTTAACGCTCTTCATAATATTTCATAGTGTCATCTGCAATATAATATAAAATTGAAACTCAGAATTATTCTAATCAAATCAGGGATTTTTTTAGTCACGTTAGGAATTTCTTTTACAGAATAAGGTAATTAGATCTTTCTGCTCCAGATTCTACCTGCGATGTAAAGCATTTACATTTAAACTACTCATTTTAGCACCTTTACGTCATTTGTGCTGATCTTAAAAATTATTCTTCACTGTTTCTATTAATTTGTACTATTCATATTTTAATTTTTGGTTTTATTTTGTTTGTTTCAGCTTTTTGGATCCCAAATCTCTGTCACTCATGTCAGGAATGAACAAACGCCTGTTTCACATTTGCAAGAACAATAAAGGCCTAAGAACCACAATCCGCAGATATTTACGCAAAGAACGGAAGGAACAACTGAAGAAGATGTTAAACCCAGTCAAAATCAGGGTTGTCAGGCAAGAAACCGGAAGTACGAATGATGCTTTCCAAAATCGAAATGCCAGAAGAGGAGTTGTTGCCACTCAAAATTTCGGTATGTATTCCCTCCGTTTATGCTTATTGATTTTCTTTTAAAATTCTTTTGAATTTCTTTGTTTTTCTTTTATTGCATTATTATTATATCAGCTGCCTTAACGACTCTCTAAAACCGTTTACGAACGCACACGCTGAGATTTTGAATATTTTGATAAGCCGGGCTACATTTAATTAGCTCCATTAATATGAGAGATTATTTTGGTTCAATATAAACACTTCTTAGGTACTCATTTCTGTTTGATTTTTGACGAAGTTAAACGCCGTTTCATTTAAAATTTACCGATATCTCCCGTGTCGCATTTTTTCGATTTTTGATCTTCCCCCCTCTTATTCATTGTGTAGTCTTCGATTTGCAATTCTAATATTCCTGTTTTACTCTTCTGTTTCAGAGCCCACAGTTCTCAGGAGAGAAACCGCAAGCCCGGATGTAGTACTTCATCGCCAAAATAATAGGGGAGGATCTCGCGTCACTCATACCTTCGGTAAGTTTGATTATTTGCTTTGCCCCGCCTAAACATTCTCAATTCGTGTTGCACTAATGTATCATTGGCGAATTAAATAAATAAAGTGAGAGAGGTGACGTTCGGATGCGTTTTGTCCTTCTAATTATTCAATACCAGTTTTCATTTATTTCAGTTCTTCATTTTTACCAGTTTTCTTCCTCGGTTTTTTGCGGTTATTGTTCACGACTTTTCAGTTCGCAAGTGCGCGGTTTTTCGATTCAGCCTTTTCTTCCACTGCGTCGATATTGCGGATTTATTGCCTGACTAATGTTGTGTTTTTTTTTTTCTGTTTCAGAGTCCGCGCAAGTCTTGCCGTCGACGAGACGGCCCATTGCTGCCGTCTCCAAGAAAAGATCACGTGGTCAGGAGAAGAACCCAGGACCGGGACTCGCCAAAAGGATGCGGATTTGATTTGTCCTCCGCAACTTAGTTTTTAAGTTTTATCTCGAGTAGTTTTATCTCTTTTTGCGACTGTAACTGATTACATCGACTGAGCGACTGATTTTTATTCTGTAAATAGTTGTTGTTTGTACAGTATTGTTGAATTATATCGTTGTTATTTGTACATGTTTTTTTGTTAAATAAAATTGTATGTCATAAAACGCATTTGCCCTAAAAAAAAAGAAAAAAATTGACATTTATCCAGGGTTTTTGGCATAGAGTGGACTGGTGGGCTGCAAGCTGTCAACCACTATAAAAAAAGACGTAACGTGCCACTGACCTTACCTCCTGAGGAAGCGTTGTTTTTGTTTATAAAATTGTTTGTCATAAAACACATATTTGAGCAAATGAAGCTCATTAAGACGCTTTTTTCTCAGGATTTTTGGCATAGAGTGGACTGGTGGGCTGCAAGCTGTCAACCACTATAAAAAAAGACGTAACGTGCCACTGACCTTACCTCCTGAGGAAGCGTTGTTTTTGTTTAATAAAATTGTTTGTCATAAAACACATATTTGAGCAAATGAAGCTCATTAAGACGCTTTTTTCTCAGGATTTTTGGCATAGAGTGGACTGGTGGGCTGCAAGCTGTCAACCACTATAAAAAAAGACGTAACGTGCCACTGACCTAACTTTCTGAGAAAGCGCTGTTTGGCATCATTTATTAATCGGATTCCGTTTTGCAATTGAGAGCTGCAATTTCTGTCTCCTCTGCAAAGACATAAGTACGCGATGGGGCGGTACCTGTACATGCGTTGTTTTTAACCTGGGCCAGAAATCGTAGTTCTCAATTGCATAATGTGGTCCGATTGTCAATTATACATGTCTCGCTTCGCACCTTTGCAACTGCGGGCTTCGAGTTTTTTTCTTCTTTTTTCGAGGTTCTTGGCACAGAGTGGACTGATTGAGCTAAAGGCGATCAATCACTATAAAAAAAGATATAGCGTGCCGTTGAACTAACCTACTGAAAACACGGGTGTTTACGTTGTTTTTCCCCTCGTGAATGTGATCCAATGGTTACCGACAAAACTTTGTTGATGCTCAGTGAAATTTTGAACTCCAATTATTCCAAAACCTGAAAGCCCAGGAAGTCAATTGTGTTTTGGCAATGACCAGCTGATCGTATTTAGTAGTATTTCTCTAAGGTTGTGTGGAGAATGTTCCCGTAATACATTAGAGCCTAATGCGTTGTGCAATTGTAATTTATAGTTGAAAACATAATCTCATTAGGGGAGAGGAGCGACGATTTAAGCTGTACTGCCATGCTAAGGAAAAACGCTGTATGAACCTTCAGGCGTTGCCAAATTTCCTCTGACAAGACACGAATTTCCTGGAAAGCTTATCAATATTTTCCTTCCAATTTCTCAGGTAACTTTGTTCGCAATTTTACCTGAAATTTTTGAAAATTTCAAGGACAAATATTTTTGGCCCACCGCAAAAATAAACATTATATCGAAGGGAATTTGGCAATTCTCGAATGTTCATACGGCGTTCTTCCTTAGCACGGCAGTGTTGAGCTATGCTTTGGTTTAAGTACATTCACTACACTAAATTCGCGTGCAGTTACATACTTGATTTACAATCAAACTTATTTTTATTACACATTCAAGTAAAAATAGAATCGCTGAAACTGTTCTCAGCATTGGAAGCATGAATTCCCCCTCACCCACTCCCCGCCAACGCAGCGGTTTCGACTAAACTATACCGAAAAAGGTCAAAAGTTACGCAATCCATACCATCACCTTAAAGAAACAATTTGCTCGCTGAGAACTTTTTGCAATTCTAATTTTATTCAGAACCTCGGACGATTCTTCTGCACATCCCACTCCCAAACTGCTCTTTTTTTTTAATTTTGCGGATTTTCATAAGATAAAGCCAAATAGTCTCGGAAATGCTCCAACTTGAATCGATAAAAGTAGCTATTTCAGGTTAGGTTTTAAAAAAAGGACGTTTTCTTAAATGAATAAGGTATCAAATACAAGAAGCAGGACTTCCCTTTTTTTTCGAACTCAAACGAGTTCTCTTAGGTTGAGGTGAGGGACATAAAAAATGCATTGACATTGTTGTTCTAATGTTGACCGCGTTTAACAGAAAGGAACCAAACCACATCAGCTATTGCCAAATTTAAGTGAGCAAATTAATTTTTTACGAGAGAACGTTTGTGCGGATTCTTATAAAATTTTTAAGTAATTTGCTTCGTGTTATGGAGAAAATTCATTGAAATTTGAACGAAAATCCGCACAACCGTTTTAATGTAAAAATTAAATTGCCCATTACGTAATAGCTGACGTGGCTGGGTTCCTTTCTGTTTAACGCAGTTCATTTGAGATGAGAATTTTATACGATTCTTAAATTTTTGGTCTCTCCTTTTGGGATTAATGACCTGTTTCCTATGGTTCATTGGACACTGAATGTTAAAATATCTATTATAGACCGACAAGTTCACCTTTAATGGCCTTTAACAGTAAACAAACTACGATGAGGTCATTCACTCTTAAAAGTAGGGACTCACCTCGTGACACAGTGACTCACTTCCAAATAAAACCGAATAAGATCATTCGCATCAGTAACGTTCCGATGAAAGTGGCTCATAGTTGCTAGATACTGCTGAAAAAGCAGCACACTCTCAATTTAAACTATCCAATTTTATGACCCAACTTGGCAACCCCGAAGTGGTTGTACCGCCAACCAAACGCCTCCCTGACCGAGTTACATATACAAATGTATACATTGGTAGGTCATTGACCCTTCAGAACGATTGGTGTTGATGCTGACACAATGACACACTGACCAAGTTCCACACTGGTGGGTCATTGACCCTTAAAAACGATTGCTGTTGATGTTGAAAAAATGACACACTGACCAAGTTCCACACACTCATGTATAGAGAGGTCATTCACTCCTACAGTTTCTCACTGCGTGCAACATGCCGACCGCCATTAGGTGACCAAAAACAGGGCACGGCAGGGGTATTTCTAGCGGGATGATAATTGAAATTGAACGTACTTCTGCCAAACGGAACTATGTACATTAAGACATGAGCCCTGAAATTCGTGAGAATATGCACATAACAGGGCTCTCGTCTTAATGCACATAGTTCCAATTGATAGAATTACGTCCAATTGATCGACAAAGAAGACAAACGGGAATTGTAGTTGAAGTAGAATTTCTACGGACGATTTGTTTTGGGTGGAAAATCCAGATTCAAGACTAGAAAGAGCAATGCAATCAGTCGATCACATTTTACTTGCTACCGATACATAATCTGCGGGCTGATTGTTCAAATTGGTAGACAAAGGGATAGACATAGAAGACGAAAAGGATATGGAGGGGTCCTATTGGTGGAAGCAGGTGGTAATTGAATTGGACGAAGGAGGTAAATAATAGACTAACTAACGGCAAGCACCGAGGGACCCTACAATTAGTCCATCATTTCCCCCCTTACCAGTCCATAACAACCACCCGTTTTAACCCTTAACAGGACAGCTCAATTTTCCCTTGTCTTCTTTGCTATATATAGCTTTGTCAATCAATTTCAGAAAAAAACCGGCAGTTAAAAAAAGCTACTTTGGTGGTGTCATGTTGATCTGCTAACCTACTGACCAATGTTGGAGTAAGCAATGGATCCTCTACAAATAACTTTTTCTAAGGTGGAGCGATGAGTTGACACTTGTGAAAAATAACCCATTAATCACCCGAGATTCACCTGTAATTTCACAGTCTGCGTCAGAAATTTGCGCATTCCGCGCAAGCGCAACTTTCACAAAGGTATAATACGGCAATACGTGATTTGATACAGAGATAGAACGTAGTGGACTACATTTTGAAATAAAGAACTACAATTTCTGGCTCACAATCAGTTTAAAAACAACGTGTGTGCAACCAGCTTCCCTATGCACATAAGTGTTTTTATGCATGAATCAGAAATTGTGGTTACTAATTGCAAAATGAAGTCCAATTTCACAACTTTGCGGCAGACTAGGGATGACTCGATTACTGGCGTCTATTTCGCAGATTTTTAATGGGAGACTAGACAAGATCTGAAGTAGAAAAAAAACTTCACATGTTTTCTCTGCAAAATCTCCCGAAAAAAAACGATTTCACACGATGAGAAGTTCGGGAGGTAAGTCCTGAACGAGATATTCGCAAGTAGTTATAACTCAGATCAAATGAAAGTTAGAGCATGAGCATACAAATGTCTGTTGTGGTTTCCCAATTTATCAATGATAATTGTAAACATATTTTGTTACGAAGTTGGTTTTCAAACTTCGCGTTGCGAGATTCATTTTCCGCCAGAAATTGTCATCGTACTTCGATTCCTCGTTGTGTGAATTTATTTTCCTCGTGAAATTTTGAAGGGAACACATGTTGCGTAGTGCCCTAATTCGTACCCTGCCTGGAGGCCCATTAAAAGATCGGAATGTGAAAGTCTGCCACTAGAATACATTTTACAACCAAAAAATAGCGATTAATTTTAGAATCCGACCATGAGATGCGCTTAATTGGAAGAGTGATGTAAAAGCGGGTCAAAAACCTGAAACAGACGGATTTAATAATCAATTACATTTAAATCCAGTGCTCGAAACTCACAGGTGCCAACGCGCCTAAAAATCGGCCATGGCGCCTAAAAAATGAAGGCTCTGCGCCATCATAGCCCCTAAAAATTGCCCCTTAAAAATCTAAATTTTCATATTAGGTGATTATTCGAAATTTTCAGCATTACAAGTGAAAGCTTTTTCTATTCTTCACGATTTCATCCTTAGTGCTTTTGTCTTCCCCAAGTTATAGCTACATACTAGTTCTGTTACAAAAACATCTTGCGTCTAATTTTTTACTAAATCTGCCGTTTTACATAGGCAAAAAGTCAATTTGGCCCGTAAAAAATCTTCATAATGGCGCCTAAAAAGCAGGCTTGATGCGCCACATGGCTCCTAAAACCCAAAGGTGAGTTTCGAACACTGTTTAAATCGCACAGTCTTTTCGGAACTTTGATCTAAGCTACCATGACCTGAGTTACAATTTTCCTGAGTTACAAGTTCACAAGAAATTTCGCATTGTTACAAAATCGAGTCAAACTTATTCGTTAGATGCATAAAAATTTCTCTCCTCGAGCACACCCCTCTTCCTTCCCTGATTTTGCTCTAAGCGCCCCTCCCTTCCCCTCCCGCCCGATCCGCGGCGCGTCATCGGTGAGGGGCGGCAACACCCCTCCGAAGTGGTAAATACTAGCGCCCTCCCCTGCGCAACTCATTCTGCTCTGATCAGTGCCCTTGTGATCAGTTTGTGTTTCTCTCGTTCCGTTTTCCTCTTTCGCTCATTTACCGTCACTTTTCAATCATGAATTTCTACAATCTTCTCTTCGCCATTGGTGCCTGCTGTTTCCCGACCGAACAAATTCAGATGTTCGATGAACTTCCTGTGGAACTCGTGATCCAAATTTTAAGGTATGTTAAGTTTTATCTATCTATTTACTTACTTGTTTATTTTTCCTTTTCTCTCGTTTCGACACATTACTAATGGATTTCAGTTCTGTTTACTCGTCAAGTCTCCATGTTCTACATGATATCTAAAGAAGCAGCTACGCATTCATTTATGTGTATTTACATCTCACGAATTTATATTTCATTTTTATTACACTGTCCTACAAATTAATGCAGTTAGTTAATTTTTTTCGCTGATGCAATTTTTAACAATCAATTAATTGTACAAGTCTTTGATTTCTTAAAAATAATGTAATGTAGAATTTTAAATACGCCAGCATGTTTTTAGCCACGAGCTATTGCATTTTTACTGTGCACGGTTTTTGTGAATTGTTTTTTAATATTGTCATGTGATTTGTCTGTTTCAGCTTTTTGGATCCAAAGTCTCTATCAATCATGTCGCGGATGAACAAGCGTTTATTTCACATTTGCAAGAATAACAAAGGTCTTAGAACTACGATCAGAAGATACCTTCGCAAGGAACGGAAAGAGCAACTCAAGAAAATGCTGAACCCAGTCAAAGTCAGAGTTCTCAGGAGAGGAGCTGAAACTACGGATGTAGTATTCCAACGCCAAAATACCAGGAGAGAAGCTGTTGTCACTCGGAATTTTAGTGAGTTGAAATTTTTCTTCTCTATGCTTCTTTTAGTTGTGATTTAATTTGATTATTTATTAAAATATGTCGAAACTTGATTCGTCAAGTGATTTTTTCATGAGCGTTTCAGTTTCCGTTTATCTGTCTTTTTTTTTCAAACTAAGTGCTAACTTTTTGTTAAGGATTGTTCTGTTTTCTGCACAATTTATCGCTTTTCAATTATTTCATTCTACCTATATTTATTGCTTAGTGTTTTGTTGTAACTAATTTTTATGTTAATTTTTATTTGTTGCAGAGCCCTCGCAAGTTTCACAAATCCGCACAGAAGACCCGCAAGTGGTATTTCGCCGCCAGAACACTACAGATGGAGATATCGTCGCAAACAGATTCGGTAAGTTGAGTTATTTTCATTGTTGCCTTTTTGTTTCACTATGATGCAATTTATTTTTAAGCGTATCATTTAGTAGCCCGCTTATAATTTTTGCTTTGCTAATTGTCCCCTTCTCTTGATTTTGCTACCGCTTTTTTTATGCCTCTTAATGTATCTGCCTTGATTGCCGTTTTCTATTATTTAATTTCACATACTCTTCGCCGTAATATTTGTGTTTTTTCCCTACTGCTGGCAGATTTTCAATTCAGCCCGTCGTCCGATAAACTTTAATTTAATTTATTGTTCATATATTTAGTATTTTATTGTGGTTCATCGTATATCTGATTTTGTGCTGCTTTTTTTCTGTTTCAGGGCCCTCGCAAATTGTGCCAACGATGAATAGTCGCCCAATTGCAGCCGTCTCGAAGAAACGGTCACGTGGTGGTCAAGAAAGGAACCTAGGATCAGGGCTAGCCAAAAGGGTGCGGATTTGATTTGTCTTCCTCAACTTAGATTTTAAGTTTACTCATCTTGTGAGTGTATTTTTGTTCTGTAAATAGTTGTTGTTTATACAGTTTTGTTAAATTTTATTGTTGTTGTTTGTGAATATTTTATGTAGAATAAAATTGTATGTCTGAAAACACGCTTGACCAAACAAAAATCAACAATACACTTTTATTCTCGAGGTTTTTTGGCGTAGAGTGGACTGGTGGGCTACCGGCTGTCAACCACTATAAAAAAAGACGTAACGTGCCTTTGACCTAACTTTCTGAGGAGATGAGTGTTTGCGTTGGGGTATTTTGTTTATTATTGATCGAAATGTGGCAACATCTGAAAGCTCATGCGGCGTTCTCGCTTAATTCTTGCTAGGAAGGAGTGCTATAGGGGCCTTTTACATGAAGTTGTATGTCTTAAATCACATTCGACTTCAAAAAAATCAATGAGCAATAGCCATACCTGCACTGGGGAAAAAGCACATTGGATCCAGGGTCCAGATCCTTAAAAACATCGACTAAAGAAAACACTCTTGATTCAATCGGATTTTAGCTTAAATCAAGAACCAAGCCTCTTAATTAGAGCGGATTTCTTTTTGATTTAAGCAAAAATCTGGTTGAATCAAAAGTATTTTTCCTTGTCAATGTTTTCAAGAGTCTGGACTCTAGATCCAATGTGATTTTTTTTCCAGTGTGTGCAATTGGCCTAATTCCGATTGATTCCATCCATTTGATCGCATTTAAAGACAAAACCATTCCGAGAAGAGGTACACTTTTTCTCGTCGATGAAACAGTAAAATAGCGCTCACCTCTACGCATACAATAATTTATTGTGCGCGCGAGGGAAGCTGAAACGCCTTCAATTTAAACGTATGCAACGCGGACAACTCCGGAACACGAATAGTCGCATTAAGGCGCTATATACTACGTCCATCGTTTTGCATCCTGTTTCCATGAATCAGGCATTGAAGGTTAATGACCTGTCTTCTATGAGTGTAAAACTCGGTCAGTGGGTTATTTTAACAATGACCTTTCCATCCTTAGTTCGAATGATCAGTGTGCCATTACGTCGACCGAATTCAAGGGTCACTGACCTCCCGACCTTCAAATGACTTAAGTGGGTCAGTGAGGCAAAACAAGTACGACCGCTTTTAAAAGCATGAAAGTGAAGGTAAATGACCTAATTTCAAAAATTGGTCCCTGTGTTACGAGCCGAATTAAAGGTTAACGACCTGCCTCATGAGAGTAAAAATTGGGCTGCAGGTTATTGTACCAACATTGTCGGTGGAGTTATTTAAGGATCAATGACCTTTTAGTCGTTGGTTTGAAACGACTTATGACGGTGAGTTGGTCGCAGTGGGTGTATTCACCTTCGATAGAGAGGTAAATAGCCCAGCGGGCTGATTATAGTGTACTAATAGACAAAGCAAAATACGAATAATAAGAAAGGAATATTGACAGGTCTTATTAATAAATGCAAGTGGCTGCACAAATGCACAGGGAAAACATGGTAGACAAAGATTAACTAACAGCACCCACTGCAGCGACTGTCTTGCTATGAGTGTAAAACTCGGCCAGTGAGTTATTATAACATTGACCTTTCCATCCTTAGTTGTGTGCGTTAAGTCGAGGTGAGTTATAGTCTGTTCGATCGGGGGTTTTCTCTTTGCCGGGTTTTGGTCCTTCAATTGAAATACGCTGATATGAGTGAAATTATCGGTGGTCGTTCTAGCAGGCTCCCTAACACATTTTGTGGAGGCCAGCTTTGTTTTACTCCTTTCGATCGAAAAGAGCGGGAATAGATCCACATGCAAGGCTCGTCTGGGAGGACCGTCCCCCTGGCGCTAGGAACAGCCGTGCTGAGGCCTGTAGTTCGTCAACCACTCAAACTCAAGAGAATCGGTCTAATTATTGCTGGTCGCTCCGTTTCCTTTGTTTAAAATTACACCTTGGCGATCAGAACCCAATTTGCAATGAGACACTTCATTTTCTGGCTCGTATACGAAATCCCTTACCTGCATGGGGGACTTAATGGTATAAGTGTTATTTCTTAACTGAGTCAGGAATTGTAGTTCCAAATAGCAAAAGCCGATCCAGTTGGTTCCTAGCAAAAGTGGCTTATAAGTCACGATGGGAGTGTGAGGAAAGTCTGACACCTACAGATAACTTCGCAAGCTGCCCAAAAAATGCCAACTTGCGAGGCTTCATTTGTCTTTAATTGATTGGATAGGCAAAAACTTGTGCACCGGAGCCGCATTAGTTTTATTTTGACGGCTAAATTCAAATGGCAACAAGAATCTTTAAATATCTTCATAAGGAGTTGATTTCGGTAATTTTCGTTGAGTGCATTGTGTTCTACGTGAAATTTTGGTTACGAAACGTGTATCAGAATGCTGAAATTCGTGCCTTGTCTACTGGTCCATTATCCGATTAAATCCGAAATAGCTGATGCGGCTTGGTTATACCTATTCTGCTTATCGCGGGCTAAATGGAGAAAAAGCTGATTTTCCGACACGAGTTGGCGACAGTGGCTCCGAGAGCTGAGCGCGATCTCAAAGTCGCGGGGATGGAGCTTTTATCAACAAGTGCGATATGTCGACTTGAAAGGAGCGAGGCGAGAGTGGAAGGGATACGGGGCGGGGGGCTGGTAAAAAAGAAGGGCACGGGGTGGAGGTTCGAGGAACTCTCGCCCGCACCCCCACCACCCCGTTTTAAAACGGCTGTCCTCTTTTGCTCCGCGCTTCAACCCCCGCTCCGCGCTAAATGGTGGTGACAAGTACCCGGACGGGTAGAGGGCGAAAAAATGTTCGCGGCCTCTGTGTGCTAGTAAGAGCTCAATGGAAGAAGAAGAAAAAAAAAACACATTGGATCTAGAGTCCAGCGACTCTTAAAAACATCGACAAGAAAAAATACTCTTGATTCAATCAGATTCAAGCTTAAATCAAGAAGCAAGCCTCTTCCTTTGAGCGGATTTCCTTTTGATTTAGACTTAAATCTGATTGAATCAAGAGTCCTGTTTCTTGTCGATGTTTTTAAGAGTCTGGACTCTAGATCCAATGTGTTTTTTTTCCAGTGCTGCCTCACTAAAATGTGAAATATGTATGTATGTATAAAGTCGCTTTTATAGCGCTCTCTGGCACTCTGCGACTCCTAGCCGCCCAAGTCCCCTATCCTCCCAAAGCCCTTTTGGGAGTTGGCAAACCCTTATTTCTTCCAAAACCCCCTGTCGCCACCCTTTCACTGGGCGTCCCGCGTCCCCTTCGTCTCCTCCTAGAGGGAACCCAATCAAGCAACTTCAAAAAAGTGATATATGCAGATCGAAATAAGGAATGATGATGAATGGAAGAAAATAGATTTTAAGTTGGACTACACATATTTTTAAAAATTATTTATTTTAATTATTTTTAAAATTTCTCCAGAAAAAATATCTATTCTCGAAGAGTCATGAATATTTATCCTTGAAATTTTCAAATACGCTGAACTGAGTTCCAAGTAAAAGTCATCGAAAAATTTACAGAATATTCACGATGATCCGTATTTTATCGAGGGAAATTTGGCATCGTTCGTAGGCTTATACGGCGTATTTCCGTAGCACGACGGAGTGGCAACCGTGCCCATTTGACATCCATTACTCGCTCTGAGCCCCCTTGCTTTAGCCAAGAGTGAACGCCGTGAATTTTTTCCCCACAAACCCCTCCCCCCTGCGTTCCCTCACGCCCCCCTCACGCGACCAGATCGCACGGGGAACACATTAGGGGTGTGACTTTATTAACCCCCAAATTTATTCATCGTTCCCGGCTCGTGTCCCGTGTTGCCAAAACTGGCGTAAAATAAAATTTAAATTTTGGGAATTTTTCAATAACAGGGCTCAAACTGCCGTGCTTGGACAAAACCCCGGGCAAAAATTTGAACGTTTCCATATTTTATGAGAAAAAATGAAAATTATCTAGAAAACCACATAATTTTAAAGAGGTAGCAATGTCTGGATTCTGAATTGAATCGGCCATTCTTAAAAAAGACTGCTACCATAAGATCGGGCCATACGCACGTGAAAAAAACTTCGTGCATGGGGCCTGAAGTTAAGGTCATATGGACCTCTAAAGTTTCGGACCACGCAATCGAAAACGTGAGGTCCAGCTGCCGAAGTTCGGGTCAGGCATCTGAAGTACTTAGGTACACACCGAAGGGTTCAGGTCACACATCTGAAGTACTCTGGTATATACCGGAGTACTTCAGGTGTCTGACCCGAACTTTGGCAGTCGGACCTCAGGTTTTTGGATGCGTGATCCAAAACTTCAGTGATCCATATGACTTCAACTTCGGGCCCCATGCACGAAGTTTTTTTCTCTGTGCGCCAATTTCTTACATCCAAAATCAATGGAAATATCGCCCTTTAAACAACCACATGATGATATGATGTCATTCACAGTGATGGTGCATACCGTGGTTTCTTCCTCCTTAAATTATTCTCGTATCGATTCATAGTGCAAACGTGTGCATCTCCAATTGACGAAACTAAGATGGGAGATAAAATAGGCCGCGCTACCGTGTTGGATGACGTCATGCACTGAAAAAAAATTCTCGGTGTATTTACTAGGGAAAGGGTAAAATTATCAAGAATTCAGGGTTCTATTTGATCCCAGTTTTTTCTTGGTAAAATTACCATTTATGGGATTGGTAATTTTACCGAGAAATCTCGGTAAAATTATTGAACTTTCTCGGTAATTTTACTGGGCCTTGGTAAAAACGCCGTGGTAGAATTACCGAGATAAAATGGCAAAGTTACCCAGAATTGATTACCAATAAAAGTGGTATTCTTACCTGGAAAAACAGTAAAAATACCGGTTTTTAGGTAAGTTTAGCAGTCTGTTTTGGTAAAATTACCAATAATTGGTAAAAAAAGTGAGATGGTAAAGGTACCAACGGACCTTCGTAAAAACGCCGAGAATTTTTTTTCAGTGTGCATGATGGTACACCGTGTTTCTTGAAAGGCAATATTTCGGTTGACTCTGGACGTAGAAACGTAGACGAAGACCGCCATATTCCTTTTTGCTATTATATTAACTTAAACCATCACAGCGTGATTCTATGATCTGCGCAACTGACTCATAAAAGATACATATCGACCAGTGGCGTGGCGTGAATTGCGATATATC